AATATCTCGTGGTTTTATCAAATCTCAGAAACAACATTGACTCACACAAGTGTATCATCAATCCTCAATTTCTGTAAGAGTCAATAACTCCTGTTTCTTTCTCCTCTGAAAATAGTGGCATTTGATACTGTGGATTCTGTTAAGAGGAGAAAACTTCTTTTCAAACAAAATTCAATTCAATCGAATTGAGTCTATTCTAGCGACTCTCTTCTCGTATCTTGTCATTGCATAACATTTGAATCATAGTTGAATTCCTTCTCCTCAATAGTCGACTATACATTTGAGGTGTTTTTGAAGGTAAACATGACTGTTTAGGTTTAAAGGCTTTTGTTGCATCCTCTTGTACGATAAACTTTGTAAAAACCACAACTTTTAAAGATATACAAGAAAGCAAACTATAAAAAGTACAAAGCTGCTTTAGGAACGATATAACTCCAAGAGGGCTATTATCTCTTTCAATATAAAAAAAGGTAAAACTTTTAAAAGCTCTGCAAATTCAAAGAACGATTTGTTCAGCTGCAGTTGAGTCCTATTCTTCTTCCATTCTCAACCATCAGCTCATTGAATAAGTGAGTCACTATACAAAAGTTCCTTGCGTTAGGCACTTGAAAGAAGACTCTTGCGAAATATAACCTGATGGGTACACTAGTAGAGGCTTCCTTTTGGATATTGGTAACGAGAATCGAATAGAAGGAATGTTCATTTCTACTAGGGACAATTTAAACTTGAAAAAGAAGAGAAACGCTGTTTTATCCAAGTTGCTCTACAAAGAATAAAAATGTCGTCAACTCGCAAACAATATTCAGCAGAATAAAATAAAACAATTTATCTGATTCCTTTGCAAAGTCAAATCTCAAATGATATTTTGGTTGTTATCCAAACCGGTAAAGGTCTTGTTCTTTTAAATATATTGGATAAATTTCGTCTCCTAGTGAAAAGAAAAGAATATAGACGTAGAAATAATGGAAAAATAAAAAACTTTCATCTCCTCTCGGCAAAGTAATAAAGAAAGGTGAATCTTGAAATATTTGTGCAAGGAGAAGTAAAAGCGTCACCTCTTTTACTGTTGTTATACCAGTCAAAACTCTCTACAAGTTCTTTGTGTAGAGAACAAAGCGTGACCCTTGTAACTTTTGAGGCTCTATCCTCCTTGTCGTAAGTAGTTTATGTACGTATTTGTACATAGACAAAAGAAATCAAACCTTTGGTCAGTTTTTTGTTGTAGCCTTGTCCTCTCTATACTTTCCAACTCTAGGGGTGAGTATATGATTATTTCTTCTTTGCAGTTCACAGTGGTACAAAGACTATTCCTTGAGCCTATTTTGCACAGAAAGAAAGGCTATAGTTCTTACACAGAAAGCCAACAGAATTGTTTCCATTGAAACTGGAAAACGACCTTTTTACACATTGTGTGAAGCAGTTTTCCAAGGTTTTGAGAGGCTAACAAAGGAAGATTCTGAGATCGAGAACGAGTCGAAACCTGGTGACAGCAAAACCCGTTTTTGATTTGTTATCGAAGTAGGGTCACAGGAAGTCTGAAATTTACCTTGTCAAATTCAACTCTGTTAAAAGGTACAGTGTCGATAGTAAGTTGAACAGGAACTTTGTTAAAACACTATTTTTCTCCTTTCACAACATTACTATGGTGTGAGATTGGTTGTATCTAGCACATTTATTATTAAAGTAGCTTCTTCCAAGTCTCCAAGTAAAATATTTTCTTTCATAAAACTCACTACAAGATACTATACCTCCAGTGAAAGGAGACAATACATAGCGATTCTTCTCGTCATCGTCCAACTGGAAATTACACGATAGTTTTAGAAGGGCCAGTGTTGTTAAGGCTTTGAACTTGGTTAAGTTTACTTCTGAAACTTTTCAGACTTTAATTTCCAACTCATTCGTTGTTTTAGTTGGACAAGTGGATTTCTATTATCTACGTTTCTTTTTTAAGCCTTGCAGTTCATTCCT